TGCAATAATTTCAATAATAAAAATAATTTTAATAACAACAAAACGGTTTAAACAAAAAATTATACTATATCTTTGAATTAAGATATAAAAAGTAACTACTTAATAATTCGCGTTTTCTTGAAAATATATATATATTAAAATAGATTAGGTAAGTCGCGTTTGTGTCAAGTTCGCAAAGGCATTTATACGCGTAAGTTGCGTTTGAGTTGCGTTTATAATCGCATTTTAAATGCGTAAGTTGCGTATTAAATGCGTGCATAAACTGCGTTTACGTTTACGTAAGTAAATGCTATAAATTGCGTCAAGTACGTTTGAGTTTGCGTATGAGTTTTTATTTTGGAACGCAAACGCAAAACGCATTTTTTTTTTTTGCGTTCTAATGTATGGCTGTGACAAACTAAATTTGGGAAACACCCACATTCATAACTAAATTTCAAAAGCTGTTATTTAAATTAAGAAAACAAGGTAAGTTAGACAATGCTACTTATTTTAAAATGTATCCATCAGATTGCGTTCCACCTAGAAATGGTTAAAGCACACCTATGAAATGGTTAAAGCACACAAACCGGAAAAAACTACCCAATGTGTCAAGTTGTTTCCATTATTGACACACATTCTTATGGAACATCTGAGTATCTGGTTAAAATTATCCAACCAATATTAAACAAAAATATAATTCTTATAAGACTAATTAATTCAAGAAACTTTGTCAACAATGCTAAAGAATGGAAGATAAGCTCTAATGAAATTCAGGTTTCTTTCGATGTTATTAATTTATATCCATCCGTACCAATCAATGAAGCAATTCCTGTCATTATTAACATATTTAACAATGATCTTGAAACTTTAAAAACTAGGACTAAATTAACTCTCATAGATATAAACCAATTAATTGAACTATAGTTAAGCATATTACTTTTTATACGAAGATATAATACGAATTTTACGTAATTGAGGTCCAATTGGTTTATCATTGATGGTAGTCATAGCTCAAGCATTTTTGCAAAGTATAGAAAAAAGGGCACTTGATATAACCTTTGTTAATTCATTCCAACCAATAACTTACTAAATATATGTGGATGATAGTTATGCTCGCTTCGATTCAAAAAAAAAGCAAGAATGATTTCTTAAAGCTTTAAATGAACAAAACCCCTCCATAAAATAAATACCGTTGAACTTGAAAACGAAAGAAAACAACTTAATTTTTTAGATATTTGTAATTACAATTACAATTAATGGATTTTATGAGTTTCAAGTACACTGTAAGGATGCTATAACAAATGTTCAAAAAAAAACCAAACTTTACCATCAACCCAAGTAACCACTGACGTCTTTAAAGGTTTTTTATGTCGAGCAAAACAAATCTGCTCTCAAAAGTATCTCACACAAGAAATTGATTTCCTTATAAATACAATTTTTGAAAACGGCTATAACAAAAATAATTTAATTAAAATAACCAAAAACGGCATTTAAAAAAATACTACTTCTAATCAATTAGATCAAAAGTTTGTTAAGCTACCTTGGATACCTATTATTGGCCCAAAACTCTGAAGAGAATTTAAATAACAAAACATCAGAGTTATATTTACTTCAGCTCCCAATTTAAATAGCATATTATGCAACAACAAAACAAAACTACTCCCGAACTCAAACCCGGGAGTTTACCAACTTAAATGCTCATGCGGAAAAATATATATTGGTGAGATCAAAAAGAAAATCATTTCAAGAAGTGCAGAACACCAAAGAGCTAGCAAAAACTAAAAATGATTGAGTTCAGGAGCCACAGAACATTATAGAACATGGCGTGGTAACTTTGATAGGCTAAATCCTTAGACCATGACAGTCGTTCAAGAAGAGAGGATACGAAAAATTAGAGAATCTCTGGAGATTAATAAAGCGAAAGTTCGATATGAGATAGTTATTGGGGAAGGTGTTCTAAATCGAGATGACAGGGATAAGGTTAAAACAAGAACTTGGGAACCCATTTTGACAAAAAATTAACTGATATTTTATTATTAATTAATGACGCTGACCACAATAGGTCAGCGAAATATCGTTAATATATTTTTTTCATCAAAATATATTTAAAAATAATTATACACTTCCTTTTTATTAAAATCAAATTACATATTATATATATATATATAATATGTAATCAACCACTAATTAGTGTTGGAAGTTACTGGAAGAGAAAAGATGAAGATTGTAGAGCAAGATAACGATTGACAGACGACTTAAAAGATTGCAAATTATATGAATCAGGAAAGCAAGATGAAGGAAGCGAATTCCAAAGAATGTTTGAGGATGTTTGAGGAAAAAAACTAGACAAATAAGAGTTTTTGGAGCACTTAGGAACAGTAACAGAAAAAGGATGAGACTTAATTAAATGACGAGTAACACGAGAATGAATTTTTGTAGATGGCACAAGAGACGCTAGCTCTTTAGAGCAGTGCCCATTATAGTATTTGTAGAAAAGAGAAAGAGAAGCAACATTACGACGATGTGACAGAGGTTGAAGGTTGGCTGCAATATATATATATATATATATATATATATATATATATATATATATATATATATATATATATATATATATATATAGTATATATATATATATATATATATATATATATATATATATATATATATATATATATATATATATATATATATATATATATACATGATTATCATATCATAGTCAACGAAGTTATTTTTATTTAGCTCAACTTAACATCAATGGAGCAAATGTGGTAAAAATTAAATATTGGTGAAAAATTGTTTTTCCCTGACTGCTTATAATGTCCTCACGATCTTAATGATTAAATATTGGTGAAAAATTGTTTCTCCTTGACTGCTTATATTGTCCTCACGACCTTAATGATTAGGTTCTTTCTCTGTGTATCACAACGATCTAGGCAGGTACTGCATAATATAAACTGCTTGGGAATGCTACAGAGTCTATTAAAGTTAACCGTGGCATTGCAACAGTTGCTCACGTGAGAGACGAGTGTCAAAAGTAATATCAGATTCCAAAAGTGTCTTGATGAATGTCACATAATTCAGTTTGCGTATAACGGTACGGTATACTATAGTACAACATACCGTAGTAGTCAAAATGTTGATCCCACTGGCAAACTTGGTCTGATCATAATAAATAAGCCAGACTGTGATATCTTTATTTTTCTTTTTTTTTTTAACTTTATTTAGGTGCCCCAAAAAGTCCTTACGGACTTATCACAGAGCACCGCGGGTGAGCATTTAATTGGAAGTTCACGCTTGCTTCCTAACCGATGCTTTGTTTCTGAGGCAAGTGTCCTACCACTGCGCCACGGCTGCTTATTAAACAAGAAGACTCTCTTGGCGACACTCCAATGGACCAGGACACTGCTTCATTGAAGGTTACTCGTTGTATACTTAGCCACTACGACCTCGAACTATTTGGAGATGAGCAAGCGCATTAATGCATATTGCGATAAGCACAAGTTACTCAAAGAATCGCATTGTACTGCATACAAAAACGTTACTTTAATGGTAAAGTCTGCCAGGAACAACAACAAAGAGAAACTCACCAGAGAGTCCAAAAGCAACCCTAAACGCTTACATGCGCATGTACAAAGCAAACACAGCGTAAGATACGCAAGATAATTTGTTAAATCATAACAATAAAGTAATATTTTTTTAAAGTATCTCTCTAAAAACCCTCGAAAATTGAAACATTTTTTTCAATCGATGACTTGAATGCGGTGTTGTCAAAGACTGGAATGAAATCAAATAATTTATAGAAGTTTTAATTTCAAACATAAATTACTGGCACAAATCACATAAAATACTGGCTTGTGGCTCATAACCCCTATCATACGATAAAGTAATGACGGTAAATGTTTTTTTTGTCGAATACTGGAAAATATAATATAATAAATAATTTCTTACTGTTTTCAACGCCTCTTCTATCGCCAATGACCTGTCAGTGTTTTGATTTTAAAGGTTTTCACTTTCATCTCATTTATTTCCGTATCAGCATGAAAAAGAAAAAATTTCAATTACACGACATTTGATACGCGTTTCTTGTGGTTATCAGAAAACACCTATGAAAATTATTCCTTAGAGTTAAGGGTATTTACAAAACTTTTTTTGCTCCAAATTGTCGTTTATGTTTATTTTTATGTCTGTGATAAGCAAACTTTATTTATATATAAAGAAAAGATGGACGATCATTTCAGACACTATTTTGGCACTCTACTTCAGTTAGTGTTAGCTTAACATACTTTTTAGTGACAAAACATCGACGACTGGAAGGACCGTTGACACTAAGTGGTTTACCTTATATTTTTTTTAAGAAATCCATTTGCTTTAACGTTAAAATAAGAAGAAAAAAAAAAAGATGCAGTCTTAAAAAATAATGGACGTACAGTGAATTATTTAATCTTAATCACAAACATTTGTATTATTTAATCTTTAGATTAAATAATACTAATGTTTGTGGTTAATGAAAAAAATATATTTGTGCTTAATGAGGTTTTATGATAATTTTATAATTATAAATTTAAAAAGCAAAAAGGTTTCAATCTTGACTTCAATGTTTTATTTTAGCTTCAAACATACAACAATTTGCTTTGGCAAAATACGAAAAATACATCCATTAACAGCACCCTTTAACTGCGATATACGAGAAAACATATTTAAAATTTATTGCTAAAATTTAAACATTTAGGTCTATGAGAAGGTTAATAAACTTTATTGCTGTTAACATTTTAGGCTTAGTGAGACAGCATGTTATTGAAAGTTTCTTTCAAAACTCGCTCATGCTTGAAGTCTTAACAAAAATGACACCAGTCTTACTGTTTTTGTACATAAATTCTAAAAGATAATTTTATATATAAAGATAAATTCTTTTTCTTACATTAAAAACCAATTATGAAATATTATTAAATATAAATATTACTAAATATTACAGCTTAAATATTCGAATTTATTTATAAAAAAATGTATACCTCAAATGGTTATCATGATATTTTTTTAAAGCAAAACAAATGTTACAATACTATTTTAAGTATGTTTAATGCTACATTTTTGCAATAAACATGACCGATATGTACATCAATATATGACTATTAACAAATTTAAAGAACGAAATTCATTTTATCGAAGAGAATTCTTCTAAAACACTGCGCTGTTCAAGGTTTGATATATCAAGTTTACTTCGGACTCGATTGGTTATACTTCGAACCTTGAAAAATAATTTTTATTTAAGATTAATATAATATTACAATGTTTTAGCATATATGCTGCGCACAGTTCTTGCGCAGTTTATAAAATGGATACATCTTTGCTTATTCAGTCAATCGGACGATATAAGATTATCGTTGATTTGTCTAATAAAATAAGTCTAATTTAACTAATAGTTTACACAAAGATAAATGAATGAAGATAAATGAGTTATATTTTCAAGTAATATGTTGAACCCTTAGCAAATTCGTAAAGTTTACTTTTCGGCACTTTTTGTAAATTGCATTGGCAACTACTTCACCACTTTATTGGTTCTTTTTCAAAATAATCCCTAATAACAGAACTAGTTTTTGTCATTTAACTTACAATAAAGAAATATGAAAATGTCACAAACATTTTAACAATAATTTTACTTTTTATAATAAAAAAATACTTTTAGAAAATGAAATTAAAAAAAAAAAGTAACTAACCCAACTAACTTAAGTTTATTGCCGGTATACACTTTTTTTAATAATAAAACTTATTTAAATTTAAATTACTTTAAACTCAAGTTATAAGTTTATTAAATGCACAAAAATGTTTTAAATTTATATATATATATATATATATATATATATATATATATATATATATATATATATATATATATATATATATATATATATATATATATATATATATATATATATATATATATATATTCATATCATATATATATTCTGAAAAATAATTTCATGGATATTTACAAATAGTAATTCTACTTAAGTAAACACCATATATATAGATCTTTATATATATATATAATTAGTAATAATTATAAGAATAGTAATTATAATAATAAATATAATACTTATAGTAATAAACATAATAACCACAACAATAATAAAAAAAACAACAATAACAATTATAATATAACAATTATAATAACCAGTGACTTGTTATTTTGATAATAATCAAAATAACAAGTCACTTGTTTTTATAAAGACAATAGCTAAATATACATATAAGTTAGTTACATACCAGGGTGTACCACTTGGTACAATTAAATTCCCTGACTTTTCCCTGACTTTTTAAATTTTTCCCTGACTGAGTTATATTGTAAAATGTGAGTTTTTAAGTTTTGTTGTTTGGGAGTAAGTAAAAAAAAACCTTTTAAAAAAAATTTGAAAAAGAGATTTTTCCTTTGACTTTTGGAAAAAAAATCAAAAACTCCTGTCTTTTCCCTGATTTCTCTGACTAGAAATAAATTCCCTGACTTTCCCTTGATTTCAGTTGGCTGGCCACCCTGCATACAGTGACTGATAAAACGTAACAACTAACAAGGACATAATACAATTATTTAAGTTGAAAATAATAAAATAGGAATAATAATAGGAAAGTTAAAAATAATAATAATTGCGGTTAGGATAAATATTTAAAATTAAAAGAAATAATACTATAACAAAAAACAAAATAAAAATATGATAAAAATTAAAGATAAAATAAAGAAAAACAAAATATCATTAAAAAAATGAGAAAGTTTAATACTGCTACATGCATACACTAACATAAATATAAAGATATACACATACTTACCCATAATAAATAACTACCATAAAAAATATAAGTTTTGTTTCCCAATTTTTAAAAACTAATTAAAAAAAATTAACAGAAATTAAGGAAAAAATTATTGGTCCGTTAAAACTTTTAAACCGTTGTTTTCATCCGTTAAAATTCTTAACGTAACGAACGTAAACGGACGGATTTGCCGGACGAAAAAACCCGTCCGGCAAAAAAACGCTCCACAGTGGTTTATTTTGCATTTTTTGTGGAGATTTGACTATACTAAAGAAAAATCTCTTTGTGCGGCATGGGAAAACAAAACATGGTCAAGATATATGTTTTTAGCTTAATTTTTGAAGTTCCATCATTAAATAATGCTCCTAAGGGCATAACATAACTCTAGGACACTAAAATAACACACTGCATAACACCCTAAAAAAAGTCAGTAAAAACATTTTTTCAGATAGGTATACATAGTCAAAATTAATGTTTTAAGGGTAGACTTTCAAGCTTCATCCATTAAAAATACTCTTATGTTCATCACCATGATTGCACTATAGACTAGAGATGTGCCGGAACCAGTTTATGCCGAGTCTCCGATTCCGAGTACCCGGCTGAAAAAACTGGGTCCGAGTCCGGGTACTCGGCACCGAGTCCATTTTTAAAAATTTGGAATAAAATCTTGTGAAATCTCTAGCGCTGAAATATTCACACAAAATACGCTTTTTACGCTAACTAACCAAAAGTTATGTGGCGGAAGTACCATTTAGCAAAGCCCCGCAATACAGGGTAAGGGGCCTGAGTTGTAGGGCCTAACTTTTTTCAAAAGTTGTGCAACAGTTTTTTAATAACTATATTTAGTTTAAAATTATTTTTCTTTCCTGGTGGAGCGGGCCTAAATAATATTTTGTTATAATTATTATCGAAATTAAAATATAAAAAATGTGTATACTATTTACCTTATAACTCTACTTTTATGATTTTTGCTCGATACGAATGAAAAGTGATATCAGCGTTCGAAAGAATTATAAGCGTTTCATTCAAAACTAAATTGCTAAAAACTATCGTGTGTTCTAACAGAATAAAAAGAAGCTATTCTAAAACTTTTTTTCCCATTCTTTTTATTCGTATTCTCGAATTATTTCACTTAACGTTACAGTTTTTGTATCCGTATAAATTTTTTTGCAAAAATGTATTAAAAAATATTTTAAGTGAGATTGTTTTAAGCTAATGAAAATGGCCGATACCGGGTACCCGGTAAAACAGCCGAATTGCCGGGTCCCCGGGTCCGAACCGGGTACCCGGCACATCACTACTATAGACTCTAGGAAACCTAAAGGGCACTTTAAAGCATGCAATTAAAAAATGTTTTTATATACAGGACTCTTATATAAAGTCTAAATACATGTTTTTACGTCAGTTAGATAAAAAAATATTCCGCTAAAAATATTCACAAAATCATAAAATATAAAGTGTTTTTTTTTATGTTTTTGTGTGTGTGTTCTTTGTGTCCTTGTGAAGGACACAAAGAACACACACACAAAAAACATAAAAAAACAAACACTAAAAAGGAAAGTTATTAACTTTTCTAAAATAATTAAATAGTCGCAATATGTTTTTGAAATATTTTTTTAAGCTTCATGAATTAAAAAAATCATATAATAACTGTAGGACACCAAAATGTTTGATTTAATTAGTTATTGTCTATTAAAATAAAGTTAATATACGATGTTACATGTGTTTTTAATTGCCATTTATCTAAAGCGATAAATCTAAGGCCCCATAAAAATTTTAAATAAATGAAACATTTTTTTTATATTAGTGAAATTTTAAAAGTTCGATGATCTTGTTGTGGTTTTAAATACGAAGATTTGAAGACTAAAAACTTTTAAATTAAAAGCACGTTTAAGTAGTTAAGCAGTTACGTCATCAGCAAAATAATTGTAGTAACTGAACACATCGGAGAAATTCCGATCTCACGATTAGGAAACAATCAGATAATTGTCGGCAATTATTTTAAAACAATTTAATTCTACCATCAAAAGTCATATTTTTATTTGTATGATCATTTAAACTTATATAGAGTAAATACTTTTATGATAACATTATTTTGAAATAAGAAAGTAAAAATAATTATAAACAATTAAAAGTACAGTAAATTATTTAAAAAAGAAAAATAATAATAACAAAAACAATAAAATATGGCAACACTTGAAGAATATTGCTTAACAGAGCATCAATTATTTATTTTAATAATTGACAACAATGCCACTCATGTATCTGATTTGAGTACCATAATAGAAAATGAAACACAAGCTAGGTTATGAGAAAATGAAGTTGGAATACTAAATATTATTTTGCGAAAATTTCAACACTTGAAAGAAAGAAAATTTAAAAAGTTAAAATTAGAAAAAGTTTTTTAAAATATGGATCAAAAGAAGTCTTTATAAGAATAAGTCCAAAGACTAAAATTTAAAGTTTTTGAAAACATTTAAAAAAAAAAAAAATCTATTTAGACAATTCATTTTTACTTTTAAAATTACTACCGTTTTTGGCATCACGTAAGACCATGGATAATTTAATGAGGTTTCCTTAAATGCATTGAATAGAAGTTTCATATTTTATTCTATTATTATAAACAATGCTCGAAAGAAAGTAGTTCAGTCTTTGAACCTGGTGATAAGAATGATGAAGAAACCAGTCCGTATAGGGTGATTTGGTCATTGGTCAGCCCTATCAAGGAAACATCAGTTAAGAAGATCACAAAAGCTTTGGGAAAATGTGCAGGTATGCAGGTATTATAATTAGTTGCATATAATATATATATATTAGGGTATATCATACTTTTGCATGTTATGAATTTCATTCAGTACATCACTTTTCCTATGTATTCATATACCCTGAGTTGAATGGTATAATTTTTTTTAGTGAAAAAACAAGTCTTGCTACCGGGAAAACGTTTTTAACTTTCCAAAAAAATTGTGTTTTTTTCTAATTGATGACTATTTATGCTATAAATGTACATAATAATTATTTAAAATACTGTTTAGCCATATGCTTAATTTTGATAATATGTTTTGAGTTTTTTTTTAAATTATTTTATGTATAAGTATCAGTTAATATACAAATATACCTTATAAATATTATAATTACTATTTAAATTCAATTTCAAATTAATTGCTGTTATTGCTGCCTTTATATCTTTCAGACTCATAATATATTAAAAAAAGAAAAATGGCGTTATTAGTTAGCAAGAAAACCAGAAAATCGATTAACACCAAACTAAGTGATCTTGGAGGTCCTAGAAAGTTCCTCCAAACTAAATTTCCAACCTTACATGACTGTTTACAGCGTTGTCTGGATCTGCAGCGAGACAGAATACTAGTCTATGAAAAAAATCAGCGTAATTTATCAATGCAAGAAATTTAATGTTGCTTATGAGGTTGCAGAACGATGGCT